AATCCGGATTAGGTAGAATCCATGTTGAGTCACGATCCAAATCATAGAATCATGTACAAAACTGTAGAATCCAGACTATGGTATGGACTATGTCCGATTCTTCTAATTTATCTAAGCTGTTCGTTTAGTTGTAGCAGAATAGTATATGCCATCATCCAAACCATTTTCACATGCCTCGTGGCCCTTTATACCCTCCCAATCCCAAATGCTCAGGCACCGACACCTTTGATCTGGCTCTCAAAACCTAGATCACAATTGAGGATCAGACTTGTCGACAAATGGAATTGGCATGGGAAGGAGGATGCATGAAGATTAATCGGAGAAGGAGAGCAAGACCCTTCAAGGTTAAGCACTACAGGGTGGATACACAAGTGATCGGCTATTCACGTAATCTAAAAAACTCATAAGTAAATTTCGTGCGTCGAAGATTTCAATGTTCTATATATTTGCCTCTCATATATGTTACATACATCCAAGCTAATAGTAGGTTAGCCATAAAAAGAAGTGGAATAGAACTAGCATTGATGTGTACGTCTTTGCTCTATATTTAGTGTCAAAACTCTATAGAACCCATATAAATTTCTTCCATGGATACAAAATATCTTATTTGAGTAAATCTAGTAGAACCCTCGATTCCACGACTCGATACTACGACTTGATTCTGTCTAAGGAAAATCGATCCGACTCCGAATCCCGACTCTGACTACCTTGGTTAGGAGGACAGTAGTATCCCATCCCATGAGGGTTTAAGTCATAGACTTGACATTGGTGCTCGTATTATTTCTGGATTTGTGTTCGTTCAGTGTGAGCAGACGTTCCCATCGACTGCGAGATGCCTGTGGTGACTTCGTAAAATCTCAAGATGCTATGCTGGCTTAGTCTCTCGGAGGTGCTCACAGGGGTAGGGTGTGCCGTGCGTTCATAGGGATGAATGTATGCTCGTGTATGTGAGCGACTTCAATTGTACCGTGAAAGAAAATAGTGAAATCACTAATTAAGGAGTACTCTTTGCTAAGGTCACTCTCCCCTCCTTGTCGCAACCTAAGAGTTTTTCCGTAGATTTATTATTTAGCAAAC